ATTGTAAGATTGACATGAATTATGAATATGGAAATGATGTTGTAAATTGTATAATTGGTGTGGATTATGATGGATTGAGATATGTATGTGAAATGAGATATGTTAAATGTGAATTGAGATGTGAAGATGATGAATGATATATATATATATATATATATATATAAAATTAAATATGATGTTGTATTCTATTTAACAAACATCAAATACAAATAAAACACCTAATTTCATTTTATCTTGATGTTATTAAATACAATATAAATATTGTTTTGTTATATTTCGTTCTGTCCCATTTCGCTACTAAAGAACTCCTAAAATATCGTAAGGAGAAATATCAGCTAACTAAATTAAGACTGAAGTCTAGTTTCACGTATTTAAAGTTAAACTCTCCATTACTTAATTTGAAACTCTCCTTTTGGTTGATGCTTTGGAAATGCTTTCTGCTGTTGTATTTTTTTTTTCCTGTATTTATTTACCTTCATTTACGTAAAAAGAAAAAGTAGCGACTCCAAATCACGAGGACAAGTATGCCACACAACACAACAAAGGGTAACGAGGATGGGTACAAAATCTGTGCCATTTAGAATAAGATCAACATCCATAGATGACTCATTCACATTTTAGACTTTGAATTTCCTTATACGAAGCAAGGTTTACATCATAAAAATAAAAAATAAATAACTATCGATACAATTCACTGTTATTGAAAAATGGGAAAACAAGTATATAAAAATTATAGAGAATCATTATAATTGTCCATTTGGTCTAGTGACAACGAAGGTTGAAAGTAATTAAAATAAATACATGAAGCCTTAGATTGTATTTTGATTGTTGATATTATGTAAAAAATAATACAAAAAATGTAGAATAATTAAACATACAGAGCTTTTTTTAATAATTTTTTTAAACTTCTTTATAATAATAAAAAAAGTATTTTATTTTTAATAAAAAAATTCAAAATTTATCTTAAACTTGTACTCAATAAAACTCAAAATTGAAGTTCCCATGTAATTAAATAAATAGGACACCACAAGTCAATCTGCCAACTCATTTTTTTTATATTTTTATAAAAGCAATGGATATAATTTTATTTTTTTTGGTTTTGTGGAAGTGACTTAAGATATTAAAACTACTATTTAGACTATTATTTTATTTATTTATTATTTTTAGACAAAATGATCAACGGTTAGGTTGGTGAAAAATATTTTTTAAATGTTGGTGGTGAATATTTTATTGTATTATAATTTTATTAGAAATATTTTTAAATATGTTTGTATATGATTTTTTTTTCATATATTTATTATTTCTTTTAATAATTTGACTTGTCAACTCAACTTACTTGTAGGTTAATCCATCAACTCACCATTAAATAGGGTAAGTGAGGATTTTTAGCCAATTTTACTGTTAATGGTTCAACTCACTTGGCTCATTTTTTAGGTAACTGAGCAGGTTGACATGTTTGTCATCATATTAATTTGTTTAAAAAATTGTAAGAAAATAATTTAAAAGAATTTAGAATTATTCTCATCCATATGCATGTGATGTATGTTATTATTCATTTTAGAATGCTGTGATTCCTTACCTAAAATAAGAACATTGATGTCGGTTTATCCAAAAGAAAATAGTAGCGTTAGCGTTTAGTTGATTGATGATTCCAATTTGCTAAGAAAGTTAGAAACATATAAAAAGAATGTTTTTCTAGCTAATAACTAAGGTGAGATAACTTTTACTGTGTCCATAATTTTTAAAATATTTCTAATATATATATATATATATGA